TGTTTCATGTCAAGGTACAAATGTAAAGTATTAGATTGTGCTGAAAGTGGACATTCCCGATCAATAAGGGGCACAAGCAATAACAAGACTTTTAGCCTTTTGTGTCAACGCACACACTCACATGAATACTTTAGAAAGAAAATGAAGAATATAGGAAAGTATAAAATATTAAGATTTTTAATAGTCAAAGTGGAGGAAGGTGGATACAAATATGAAAAGTAGAACATTGGATATAAAAGAACAAATCGTCTGTAGTCACAGCTACGTGGGAAGGTGAGGCAGAAGGACAACTTGAGCCCAGGACTTCAAAGCTACAGTAAGCTATGATTTCTTCATTCAAGCCTGGGCTACCATGAAAACCCTGTCTCAAAGAAAAGAAAAGAAAGAAAGAAAAAGAAATGACTAGAGGAAATAAATGGAGAATTTTGGCATCAAGATGAAGTAAAATTCATTTATTTATATTTTATTATATATACACATTTCATTACATTTTAAAAAGCACCATAAAATAGTAATAGAACAACTTACATTTGTAACATCATATCCTGTATTTGAGTCAATAAACATTTTCATTATCTTTTACAAATACCTCTTGTTAGGTGAACAGTGTGGTGTTACCAAAGTAAGACCCAGGCATCCCCAGACCCTATGAAGGTAACTCTGAAGCACATAGCAAAAGCCTTACCATATATTTGAAGCCCTGCAGAAGTCAAGAATTAAACCCCATCAAGGATAATTGTAGCAGAGTACAAGTTTCAAAGTGTACACACTTATCCTTGTCAGAGTTCTCACTTTTCAGCATAATGTCAGAAAAAAACTGATGATTATTTCGCATTTAGATAAGATACATACGTATGTATTATTTGAGCTTATACCAAGAGTCAAGCAAGTATCATCTGTAAACAAAGTTTTGACATTTATAACTTCATTTTTATTTTCCTGCACCCTGAATTTAGGCTTCCTTTCTCTTCTTTTACCTTGTGCTCTGAAGGTAAATTTATTGTTGGATGTTGGCATTAGTAGCACCTGATCTTCTATTTTATGCCTTCCTGTATTTTTTCCTCCTTTCTTACCCTTCTCCTAATAACATCCAATAAAATAAAGTCAGTGTAAATATTCATGTCAGTATTGTGACATTTTAATTTTTTATTTTGTTTTTATAGCCCTAATGTTTATATGGTTATATATGTCTAACAATTTAAAAATATAACAGCTTTAAAAAATTATGTTAGCTAACCAAAACATATTGGCTGAGCTCTCTTTGCCTATTTAAAGTAAATTTATTTTGGCTAGAGTAAATGTATGCATGATGCTTCGTAACATGCTAAAATATCATGAATTTGGGGAAATAAATTTAAAGTTGAAACTGCATCTGCTTAAAGATATTTTTGTTTACATTGGGTATTTTTACAAATGTCTTTAGTTTTTAAAAAGCAGCTTATGAATTGATTTCTTAGGTAGGCATCTATATCTAAGCCTACATTGCTATTCCTTGCCAACTTTGATCTGGCTTTTGTACTTATAGCAATCTGTAGAGGGAGTGATTATTTATGCTTGGGCATAATTTTACTGGAAAAATTAGTCTATTTTGTATATTTTAAAAGATTATTTATGTTTCATTTTGCATTTCTAGCAGTTTCTCAGAATAATCTTGCTCATTTATACTAGATTCAATTCACTTTATCAATATTTAGATAATTGGGAAAATATAATACACTGTCTGGTTATAAAATATTATAAAGAGCGCAGTGTGAGGAAGGGATAGTTCCTTGGAGTAACTTCCTTCTTAATACATATGTAAAATATTATTACCTTGTGCTTTGAATTTTTATGGTCACGCTAGCCATAAAATCAAAGTATCATCAGTTCTTGAAGCTGTTGATATTTATTTTTAGCAAATGAAACTTTCAAACACATAATACTGACTTATTGATTTTCCAGTTCCTGATTTGCAGTTCTATGATTAGATTTATATAAAACCTTAGGGACTCCTTCAGTTGTAGTACTATATTATAGGGAAATATTTACTTTTCTCTTACATGAAAAATATAAGCAAGGGTAAAGCCAAATATTTGGAAAGGAAGAATACTAAAGAGGAAGACTACAAATATGTCTACTAGCATAAAATCTTGCCTTCAGGCACATTAAAAAAAAACCTCACAAGCACGTTTTTGCATGTACACAGACACACATATACTACTAAGGCATTTTTATTACATTCTTCTCCTTATTCCATTATAGTACTTGTCACATTGTTTATACAAAGAAAAAGAAGCTAAGTTTCTATCTCCAGAGGCCACTATAGTAGTTGACACACAGTAGGCACCAAATAAATATGTAATGAGTGAATGAACCAATAAGCACAAGTGGTATAAAACATTCCCACTAAAAATGCATTCTTTCCATGTTCATTTGTCACCAGGTGCTCTACATAACTCAGGCAAAAGTACCAGTCCTCTGACTGACCTGATTATTTTTTTCTATTTATTCAGTTCCTAATACTCAATTTTTCTCCCCCTAATTTGTTTGTATGTTTGTTTGCTGATGCATCAAGCCCAGGCCACCCTTTATTCTACCAGTTTTGGAACTTTTCTGATCCTTTTAAGTACCAGCATGGTGATAGACCCTAGAAATAAACATACTGTATAACTTGCAATGAGCAATTTGCAGTTGTAGTTCATGAAAGTCAACAATATATTGGTGCTAGTTGTAATTAACAAATTATATTTACTTCATATGTCATAAATGGGAAGCAAAATGGCTAGTAGTTGATATAAGAATGGATATAGTTGCAGGACATTTTGGTTCAAAAAACTCATCAATTGAGTGATTTAAAAAATGATTAAGAAGTAAAATTTTTTGAGTTGTTGATAATTGCCATTCTGACTGGAGTTAGGTGGTATCTCAGTGTGGTTTTGATTTGCATCTCCCTGATGATTAGTGAGGTTGAGCATTTCTTCATGTGTTTGTTGGCTGCTCGAATGTCTTCTTTTGTGAAGTGTCTGTTCATATCTTTTGCCCATTTTATAATGGAGTTGTTTGTTTTCTTCTTTTCAGTACGTTTCAGTTCCTTGTAGATGCAGGATGTTAAGCCTTTGTCAGACCTAGAGTTGGCAAAGACTTTTTCCCAGTCTGTAGGCTGTCTTCCTGCTCTCTTGATGGTTTCTTTGGCTTTGCAGAAGCTTGTCAGTTTAATAAGGTCCCATTTGTCTATCTTCTCTCTTAAGTCCTGTGGGTTTCGGGTTTTGTACAGGAATTGGATGCCAGTTCCTGCTGGAGAGGGTGTGGTG